ACTCACACTTACGTATAATTATTTCCTATCCCTAGTGAGATTATCATAAGATTTGCAAAAAAAGCCAAGCTCAGCTGTTTGAACATTTCAGTTAAAAAATGTGTTTTGGGGAAATAAGAAGTAACCGGATGCAAATCTGGAAAGAAGAGAGGATTCTAAACCGTTTTATACCCCGACACCATGGTAAAAGCAATTGAAAAAAGTACAAAATATTTACTTCCTTTGTGAGATTTCTAATTAGGCCTTAGATATTGTTTAGGCTTTGCTCAGAGATAGTTCAAAAAGCGTAGATATTTACAAATCTAATAGACACACACACTCTAATATAACCATATTGCAAGCTAAATAGAATGAAAAAATAAATTTGAAAAAATAATTCAATAAATGCACAAAATACAATGAAAAAAAGGAATTTTTATTTTAATCGCAACCTGTTAATCATCAGAAAAATGTATTGGGTCGATAAATTAATCTGAAGATATCATCAAAAGTATGCAGTGGATGGATTGAATTAAATGTGCAATATTTTTGTTTTTAGTTGATTCAATCCTACTTATTTAAATAACTTAAATTCTTTTATAGAAGGATAGCAAGCCTTCATACGTAAATGTTGTCATAAGTAGAATTAAGATTAGGACCGAGAAAAATTATACTACCAGTCCTTCACCCCCTTAAACGAAATAGGGCGAATACATCTCATATTACTGAATTACTGGTAGTTTCGAAACTCTAGTTACATGCGAAAAACAATTTTTGCCAACTTAGCTCTCTCATGAAAAGGCTAAACAGAGAAAAGTTTAAGTATCTCGAAGACGATACAAAGACCAAAATGTGTTCTCGACTTTGCTCGCAGTTTCCTTTCGATGTAAAGATGTGGTCTGACCTCGTTTTTGTTATTAGGTCGTGTTGTCAGGGCGACTTAGTTGGACACACCTTGTTTAAAGTCCTCTCCTATAGTAGTTATCATAGATCCAAACTTTGGATGGTGAACTTGGGCATTCTCAGACCTTTTGCTGGCATCGTCAGTGGTTTTTGCCATTCTAAGTACACTAAGGCTGGAATAGAATTAAAGAGGTCAACCAGAAAGATAAGAAATGGATCTACAGGCCCATGAGGCACATCCGGATAGGAAGCCCGAGTCGGATCAGCCACTTGAAAGGGAGAATGGCAAGGCAAACAGCAGGTGTGGTGACGTCACGAAAAATTCGCCCAAAGGGCAGACCTCTTAAGAAGTAGAACATAAACCAGTCAGATATGATAGGGCTAGAGTGAGACAAGAGAGTATGGGGTAGATAGATGGACCAGAACAGAATGTTGGCCAAGGAATTGATTTCATTTATCTCTTTTGACGAGTTGTAGCTTGGTGCTGAGACTGGCAATACGCACTGACGATGCCGTAGAAACGTCTGAGAATACCTCAAGCCACATGTTCCGATGCCTGGAGCAATAATAACTACAATAACACACGCTTTTAGACAAGGTGCGTCTAACTACCTCACCTTGAAAACACGACCAAGTTGCGAAAACGAGGTCAGACCAAACCTTTAAAGGATTTTTGCTTTTTTTACAATTTATTAGTGGTATGCCGGTGATATTTAAAGTATCAGGTATCTTTGAAGTAGAATTAACGGACTGAAACTTCTGCAATATATGTTTTCCTGGTTGTCAAGCGTTAATAATAATATCATACTTATTGTTACTCAGAAAATCAAGTCATAGGAGTATTATACCAATCTTAATAACTTCTTAAAGGCAATCCATTGAATGAGCCATCCTGTTGTTGAGTCAAGAGAAGGGCATAATTGATCAAAACTAGCAAACTTATCATTTCGTTTGAGAGTGGAATGGATTCGTAAATTGGCCTCAACGGATGCCGAAGGAGATTTGCCCTGGGCTCTTGTCTGTTGAATTGCCCAAAGAAGATCTAGGCCCAACATCATACGACCCCGATGACTCCATGCTGAGGTTTCGTCCATCATGTAATGAACCTCGTCAGAGCCAACAACCATTATACACTAACAATCACAAAAATATTAACTTAGGAAAGATGGCCGCCCGCTATCCTACTTACTTCTTATACCTCACTTTGCGATATTAATGAGACATTCGATGATTTGGTTGGCTGCTTTATGTTTGTCTTACATGCATGTAAGCGAGTCAAAGTGATGCAACAAAAAGAGCGGATGGAGCCACAAGTTTTATCTATGTAAATAAACTAGCGTATGATCCTATAATCCTAGGCTTGTTTTAGCTTCGTGGATGTGTGTGTGTATGCAACACCCAAGAGTTAGTTGGCAATTTTGGGTCCGAAAACAGACTCCAGTCTAGTCAAATCTTTCTTAGTGGCTTTTTCTGTTGTCTCTCTATATATATACTTTTTTAAATTTAGCAGCCAGATATAGTTATTACTTAGCTGCCTACATTCGTTCTCTTATTCGGGATGTTCGTTGTTTTGACAATTTCAATCGACTCCATGATCTTCCGCTTAGCTCTGAAGTCCCCATTTTCGGCAAAACGTTGGGATTTAGACCACTCTATCTAATGTCCTGAAGTGACCACCTGTTTAGCCGCCTCCGATTTTTGAGTCCATAAACCTTTGCAGGCGGTTCTGTGTTCTGATAGCCTCTTAACTATTGGTCGACACATCTTTCCCACATAAACATTACCACATGAGCATAAAACCTTATAACAACCTGATCTACAGAAGATGTTTGAAGATTGTATAAAAGAAGACATGATCGAGGAAAGCGTTAATGTTTTTATACGTGGTCCTAAAGTTCCATTACCTCGATAATTTGCCTACCAATCTTGAAAACTGGCAGGATGGGAGCATTAGGAACCTGGACGAAGAGTTGTTTAATTCCTTGTTTCGTTCTAAATAATGGTTTTATTTCATCAAATTTCTTAGTATTTCGAAATCCTAACGGGTAATTATCTCGGGCCGAGGTCTTCTTCGCACAATTCAACAGACATAAATCCAAAGCAACTATCATTCGGCATCCAGTGAGGCCAATTTACGAATCCCTTCCAGTCGACTTATCAAACGAAATGAAAAGTATAGCAGTATAAATAATTATTAAGAGATTCTTCAAAAACCAGATTCTATTCATATAATTGATCAAATTTTCTTTAATTGTTAAGTAGATGTTCATATATGTTTCCTTTGTATAAAATCAAAAGTAAGTACAGAAATAAGATTTTTTAGCAGTAAAAAGCGTGGCCTTGCCTTTTAAAACGAAAATTGGTAATTAAAATGGACATTCCGGCAGCGAAAAAATGTATAGATTTGATTTGCTATCGTAGATATGAAGACCAGCAATATGTGGCCATAAGGTTAATTGCAAATCTTAAGGGAAAAAGGGCCTTAATGCAGTAGTTAATATGTTCCTCTCTATTTTATAATTTAAGTGTACGCATATAAATTCAGGTATATTAAGTAAATAGTTCCAGATAACATAAGAATCTCAATTAATCTAAAGAGGGTCCCCGAGATCAATCGGATATTTATTGTTTAATCTTCATAAATGTATTTTTCTTTTTATACAATTGGATATGATTTGTGCAAACCTAGGTGTGTTGTCAAGATATCTTAGTAAATAGTTAAAAAAGATACGGGAGAAAAAATGCTACCTTTGGACAACCAACAGCAAGAAGATAAGAAGCATTATCAGCCGTTGTTTTGGGTTTTAGGTTTCGCAAATCGTTTAAATTTATGGAGGCCATATTCAATGTAAGCTCCGAATCGGCTTCTGCTTTCGCTTTTATTGAACAGGAAGTGGGGGACTCTGGTTGTTGTCTGCATGTACTAGGATCGTTAGGTGGACTGAAGGAGGATACAGAGGCGATAGACTGGTCAGAAAAACCAAAAGACTGTGAAGAACTAGTACGTGCTGGAAGAGCTCGCACTTCCGCAGAGGTGCGATCAACAATACTCGAACCGACTTGAGACGATGGTTTCGAAATGCGTGACTTCGAGTCAGGCAGAAGATGAGGTTGCGAAAGACTAGGTCCAAAAGACGAATCAGACTTAGATGAAGCCGGAAGGGTAAGAAGGTGACTGTCTTGATATTGGCGATTCAGATCAGGATAACTGATGAGATCTGATAGTAAATAAAAAAGATAAAAATAAGCTGGAAAGGTAAAAGCGAAGAAAATGCCGGAATATTAAGCCTATTTGTGACTAAAAGACCGTGCTAGCCTAGAATTTTAATAAACCGTAGTAAAATAGCGCATAATTAAATAATAAGAAAAAAAATCTCGTCTCCCTAGAACACTTTATGGTGCTCATTTGAAGTCATACGTTTCCTTATTGAACACATGATTGCCACTTCCCGTGCGAGCATGTGGTTAAATTGATGAGCTTAAAAGATACGTACATCGAATGTGAATAAAAGTGAAACCTCCACTGAGTCATCTAGTTTAGAAGATTTCTTAGCACGAAAAGGAACTAACCAAATTGTTTTGTATCTCTTCGCATTCTGCTATTTTATAAATATTTTTGAGTACACATAGCATGTAAGGAAGAGCATATAAATCGTTCTAGTTTAATGCACGCCTAAGACTTTTGTAAAAATGAGATCTAGTGTCCACTATGCATATTGTAAGAAAG